AAAACATTTCATTAGTCATAACATCATTCAAAAGTGGTTTCTTTTCACATTCCATTCATTTTTTTCATTAAGGGCTAATTCTGGTGTGAATCGTTGCCATTTTTATACTTAAGGCCTAGCAATATCCCCAAGTCTATACCAAGGTGGAAAGAACAATATTAGTCCACTAAGGAATCATTTCCATTAGGACATCTATTCTCTATCTCTTAACTTCTAACTTCCTTCTATCATCTTTAATCCTTATCTATAACCTAGAGCACATAACATTAAAAGAGATACGTAAGCTAATAATGTCTCGTGAGCTATGCGGGTTTGTGACCTAAAACATTTATCATATTTTCATCGAAAACTTTTCATATTTGCAAAACATATGTCAAGTAGACATTTCCACATTTCATCTTTGTAAAACATATTTCAAATAGACATTTTTCCAAATTCCATTCTATATCAAAACATTTCATTAGTCATAACATCATTCAAAAGTGGTTTCTTTTCACATTCTATTCATTTTTTTCATTAAGAGCTAATTCTGGTGTGAATCGTTGCCATTTTTATACTTAAGGCCTAGCAATATCCCCAAGTTTATACCAAGGTGGAAAGAACAATATTAGTCCACTAAGGAATCATTTCCATTAGGACATCTATCTCGCGAAAAGGAGGCATCACCTTGGTAGATTCCTCTATATCCTATTACGGTGACAACATGGCTCGAGTAATATATTAATTTCATTACTTTCCATTTCTTTTCATTACTTTCCATTTCTTGTCATTACTTTCCATCCTTTACACATTCCATACATTAGTATCAACAAAACTCATTTCAAAAGTAAAGCATTTATATTTCAAAACATTTCAAACATATTTCAAAACATTTCAAACATATTTCAAAACATTCGATCTTGCAAAATGTTATTTTCTTTCAAAAAACATTCTTGCCTTCAAGGCATTCTTTCAAATATCATTTCCAAAAACATTTGACACTTTCATTTCAAAACATTTCATATATCAAGCATTAGTGTTTCATTATCATAAAATCATTTTTCCTTGTGCCCTAAATGGGGAAAATACCAATACGTACTCACCTCAATCACACGTAGGTTTATCTAGTCCTCTTCTAGTTCCTTTCCCTAAAGAAATCATCTTCAAACACTACATACACCATATGTGGACGCGAATCCTTAAAATGACCAAAATAGCCCTACAAGGGTTCTTATTTTTTTTCCTAAGCTTTAATATGATAAAGGTATATGTTTAAAAGGTTTCGGTAATGTTTCGAAACATAAAGGTGAAAAACAGGAACTTTTGAGACAATGTTCACTGTACTGACAGTAGGGTTTACCATAATAGTGAGAGGTGTTACCATAACCCTATGTAACCATACTATGCTCTAAAATGTGCATTTTTGTCTCATTAAGGCTTTGTACTTTGCATAGTTCTTGAATGCCCTTTTCAATTCACTTTGTACCAATTATATGGGTTCTCACACATGGATAAGAATTGTTTATCATCCTAAAATACTCCTCTTAACCCCTTAAGTGCTCATTGAAACCCGTTTAAGTTCGTAAAGATCATTAAGTGTTTAAAAGAAGGGTAAACTAGTCTATTTTGCATGTGAACATTCCAAAGTCCACAAAACTTGCTCCAAACTTGTTGAAAACTCAAGAGGATGTTGTTAAGTGAATGAAACCATAACTAATCTCATTTTAAACACCTAATCTACCTATGGAATAATCAGTTTCATTCCATGTTCCCAAATTGCCCTTTGGGGCAAAACAATCACTAGAGCTAGAACCTTACTAGCATCCCTTCATGTTTCTGTTCCAATATCATCCTTAGAGTGTCAATTCATGTTCATGAATGTTATTCACTTCTTAGATGTCAAAATTTATGTAGTAATCCATATATTTCCCAAAATACCTTTATGACCAAATATTCCATAAATTCAACTAGAAATCATTCAAGTATTCATGTTCTTGCATTCAAATCACATTATTACTATTCAATCATATTCATGAGTGTCATATAATCATCGAATGCTCATAAACAAAGGATTTCATTGTTTTCATCACATTTCACTCAATTCTATTCCATTTCTAGCATAAACATGATTCTACCATCATTGATGACTTTAAGCATTCCAATTGTATTTATTACCATCAAACATCATGTAGGTCATTGAACATAACCCAATATAACATATAAACATGAAATCCCGAAATTTGAATTTATAGGGTTCATGAAGCTTTTTACCTAAATCATCAAATCCATTAATGAGATGACTGAATTGAGATTAGAACCATGGAAACCAATCAAGGGGGTTAGAAAATCAAACCCTAATCATCAATTGAAGCCAATATTGACATTGGGGATTTTTTTGCAAAACCTTGAATTCGAAATTTAGAATTAGAATATAATATATTGTACCTAACAAGCTTTAGATTCCTTTTTCTTTTGCTTGGTTACCCAAATCTTGTCTTGGATCAACTCTTAGATGCAAAATAAGAGAAAATCACCATGAGAGAGCTCCTTACCTTCCTCTCCACGTTTTTTATGAATGAGGAGAAATAGGTGCATCTTATTTCCCCAATATATTCACATTTAATCCATCAAGTTTACTAGTTTTGGCTAAAACTCACAAAACTTCAATATTTGGGATTTTAACCTAGGTTTTGACATAATAAGTCATTCTCGGTCCATTATATAACTTTTGTAGTCCCTTCTATTAATTGAGTCAACCCCTTGGTCAACTTACTTTTCCAACTTGACACTTTTGGCCCTTTAACTTTAAGTGTTGTTATTTTTCACTTCTAACGTTCTAAACTTCATATCAACTAATGATATGCTTATCCCTTGATGATTTACTTATATAAATCATTTTTTTAGTTTATTTACTTTATTAATTTAAGAACCTAATCTTAAATTTTTAGGATGTTACAGTTTTGATATGATACTTTGTTTAAACTATGCAATATGATATTGTTTTTATGTAAAGCATGTCATTGTATGTGATTTAGTCATGAAAAGAAATGTGGTGATCATGCATCATTTAAGTAAAGTACATAATAATGAAAAAAGTAATGTATAAGCCGGCTAGCCTAGGGGTCTACAAGGGGACTAATGAGACTCTATTGGGAGGGTACCTCCCGTCATGAAGTAGGAATCCTAAATAATAGGGTCATACCAGGATGATATGTTCTCCTGTGGTGGTCAATACCTGAGATCACTTAATCTTAGGTCCATATCAACTATAAAAGCAAATGTAATGAAAAGGGAATATGGAAACGGAATGGAAGCTGTAATGTCTATTGCGTGGGGACATGCATTGCATAGTCATGAAATTCTGTTAAAGTTAATGAAAATGATATTTTATCAAATGTTTGATAATGATTTTGTGTCTAACCCATGTAGCTCACTAGAAAATTTTGTCTTACGAATGTTTTTGTTTAAATGTTATGTATTTCAAGTTCAAGTGACTATGCTTGTATTGATAGCTATGAGTTTTTGAAGTATAGAAACTAGACATAGTTTATACTATGTATGAATATCACCGACTTACTATAGTTTTGTTTGTATCAATTGTAATACCCGGTGTCGATTGTAATCGAAACAAACATAAATCTTTTTTTTAGACCATATCCGTAAAGAATAAAGAATAAATCTTTTATTTCTAAGAAAGTTGATGCACTAGCTAGTTGAATAAAAACAACTATTGGTTCATGGTTCAAGAGAGCTAAAGCAATCAAACACTTAGTTGTTCTTGAGAAACTTCCAAGCTATGATTTATCTTTCTTAAAATCACAAGTGAATACAACTTAAGGGTCCATTTGAACACTAAACATGACAACATGAGATGAACGAGCAGATTGTTTTGTATTTGGTGTGCCTTACACTCGGACTCATGTCAGCATGACCAAATTCCTATTTTTTTATCCTACCAAAAAAGATGGAACCGTAACATCATCTATAATAATAGTATTTTTACCAAAAAAATAAAATTGTCACATAAACACCATATTAACAAACCAAAAATCTCAATTTATCTCAACTATATTAATGCTTTTTAAAAAAAGATTGTTTATAGGTCCTACCAAGATGAAAAAAGCTATCTAACTGAATAAAATAGTATTATAATTATGAAAAACTCCATGTATAGAACTTGTAAAATTACAAAAAATTATAAAAAAGTTGAAAAAGAAACATACACACAAGGTTGTCAAGATCGAGATCCTACCTAAGATCGTTTTTGGGTTTGCAAGATCGGAATCGTAAGATCGGGATCGAGATCCTAAGATCCCACAAAATAGAATATAGTTTTAATTTATAATATTTAATCATGAAAGATATTTCAAATATTTAATTTTTCGCTCAAAAGTTATAAATACTTCAAAATATTAGTTATAAGTCACAATAAAAAATGATAAATGGTGGATTGGTAAATGGTAAAAGACATAAAGTGGTAAAAAAATTCATTTGCAAAACAAAAAAATAAAAAAAAAATCAAAGGATGGTAGGATCGGATCGGATCGGATCTCGACCCTACGATCCTACGATCCTACTTGCGATTCTACCCCAAATACGATCCGGATCGTTTTTCATACCTAGGATCGTAGAATCGTACGATCCTACGATCAGGATCGCGATTTTGACAACCATGCATACACAATAGTTTGTTTGACTTTTTAGTTAGAAATGTCTTATAAAATTAACAAATTTCCTTGGTAGAAAAGTTTAAAATCTAGATATTAGCAATCTGACACCTAATTGTAAATTAAATATTGGTCCTTCTCATCCGTTTATTTTTTCAATTGGAGAGGACAAGTAAAATATTTAAAAATAGTCAAACAATCATAATACAATTCTTTATATGTATTAGCGTAAGAGCATATGGCTGATTTAGTCAGACCCTTGGTACATGTTGACTTCTGAAAATGACACAAGTAGAGATAAGATGCCTTGTAAACTAATTAACAACATTTCAAGAGTTTGAACGAGTAATAATGTCAAGACACTTGTATTCATATTAAAACAGTTATACAAGTATAACAATTAACATTCACAAAACGAGAAAATAAGTCTGATATTACATGTAAGTATGATTTAAGATATTATTTTATACAACAGCACATGGGTCACCATCAATGAAAGCTTACAAGAAATTTCTTTCGTGGGAAAGTTTTAACAAACCGTGTGATGGACTTTTGTGTATAAAAAGATGAAATATGTGTTGAAATGATCATATGATTTGGGGAATATGCACCAAATTTTGAGATATATATTAATATCTGTAAAGAATAAAGAAGAATCTGAATGAAAATGTATAGTTCTGCAAGTTGCCTCATCAACTTGGTTGCTTTCTCAATGTTGTGGTTTCTTCTGCAAGCATCAGTGATCAGTGCAAATTTCAGCATTGGTGTGATTCTTGATCAAGCTTCTAGGCCTGGAAAAGAGGCCAAGGTAGCCATTGAGATTGCAATTCAAGATTTCAACATCAAAACCAATCAGACAATTGGTCTGAATCATCAAAACTCTCGAAACAAACCACTTCATGCAGCTATTGCAGGTAAATTATTCTGGTTTTCTTATTCAAAAGTTGTCAAATTCATGTGAAAGAAGTTTAATTCGGTTGTTTAGAATCGTATCCATATGCTAACATATTGAGAGATGATGTGGGAATGCAGCAAAACATCTTATTGATGAAGACAATGTGAAAGCCATTTTGGGAGGTCATAATTGGGAAGAAGCTTCTGCCATAGCTGAAGTTATCAGTGAAGCTGATCAAAATGTTCCAGTTTTTCTCTCACTATCGACTACACCACAGGCCACTCATCAATGGCCATTTTTCTTTCAAGCAGTTCCCACACAATCGACACAGATGAATGCAGTGGTTGCCATTTTACAATCGTGGGGTATACGTCAAGTTACTCTCATATATGAAGCCTCGCATCTATCCTCAACAGCATCAATCATCTCTCACCTCTCTCAGGCATTTCGACAAACAGGTTCTGAGCTAAACCATATCGTACCACTCACATCTGCGTCGTGTTTGTTAGAAGAAGAGCTTGAGGTGCTCAAGAAGCAACAAGTTAAAGTCTTTGTAATTCATACATCCCTGGAACTCGGGATTCGTCTCTTTCAGGCAGCCAAGAAAATGGAGATGACTGGAGACGGGTATCTATGGATTGCAACTAATGGAATCACAGATAGTTTTCATTCCATTAATTCCTCCATGATTTCTTCAATGAAAGGCATGATCGGAGTCAAAAGCTACTTCCCGGAAAACACTCCGGAGTTTAGAGATTTCAGCAAAAGATTCCGTCGGAAGTTCAGTTCAGATTACCCAGAAGAAGAGGAGGATGAACCTGGAATTTTTGCCGTGCAAGGATACAATGCCGTGAAATTGTTTGAAGAAATATCACCAGAAAACTTTGATCACAAAATACTTCCCCCGCAGAGTATCGTCGAGATCGTGAAAGTGGTAGGAAAGGGATATCACAGTGTGTACTGGACCGAAGGATCAGGGTTTTCAGAGACAATGGACGATGACATCAACGGAGTAACCACGTACACCAATTCAATGGACAGCGTCGGACAAGCTTTGTGGCCGATGCAACCGTGGTACGCCAATAAACGGCGCCGGAATCTCGCCGAAAATCCAGAGATTCGGATGAGGGTCGGCGTGCCTGGTCGATCGCTGTTTAAGCAATTCGTGAACGTGGAATATAATCCCAAGAATAATGAAACTGTGATCAGTGGATTCGTAATCGCCGTGTTTGATGAAATTATGAGAGAAATGAAACTGCCATACGATTATTTTCCATTCTATGGTTCTTACGATGAACTGATGAGACAAATACCAGCAGAGGTTTCCGATCCTAATTTTCCATTCTATCTTTAACGTTCACCGGACCCTAATTTATGATACATCGCTGATTTATTGTCTTCTTCTTTTCTTGATTCTAAACAGCAATTCGACGCCATAGCAGGCGACGTAACAATTGTAGCTAGAAGGCACGAGTACGTCGATTTCACGCAACCATACACTGAATCAGGTCTGGAGATGATCGTCCCCATCCGCTCCAAATTATCAAACCAGCCATGGTTGTTCATGAAGCCTTTTACTGCGCAAATGTGGTGGCTAATAGCAGCAATCACCCTTTACAATGGCTTCATCATTTGGTTGATCGAGAAACCCCATTGCAAGCATCTTCAAGGCTCCATCATAACTCAAATCGGAATAGTAATTTGGCTTGCATTCACCACACTCTTCACTTTGCGAGGTACCATTTACAAACTTACAAACTTTCACTAATCTTAAATGTCGTCGTTTCACACATAATCGTTTTCAGGGGACAAGTTGCATAGCAATTTGTCAAGAATGGCAGGTGTCGTTTGGCTATTTGGCGCTAATCATCACACAGAGCTACACGGCTAGCTTTGCGAGCATGCTCACAGCTCAACGACTCGAACCCACCATAACCAGTGTTGAAATGCTCAGAAACATGAACGCAACCGTGGGGTACTGCAACGGGTCCTTTATCAACTACTACTTGAAGGATGTTCTCGGTTTCAATAGCTTCAAGGTCAACAGCTATAACTCAACTCATCGATACGCAGAAGCCCTAAACAGTGGCGAAATCGCCGCCATCTTTCTTGAAGCTCCGGTAGCCAAAGTCTTCCTAGCTCAGTACTGCAAGAGCTTCGTTAGAACCGGAGAGACATTCAAAGTTGGTGGGTTTGGATTCGTAAGTGGGTCTTTTGACTTTTGAGGTTGATTTTCACGAATTTCAAACCTGAAAAGTCAAATTAAATGTTGTTGTTGTACGTGCAGGCATTTCCGAAGGAATTTTCATGGCTTTCGGATGCTAATAAAGCCCTGATGAATGTTTCGGAAAGTGGGAAACTGAAAGAACTGGAAGACACGTTCCTTACATCTGAGAAGTGTGTGGATGACGAATCTTTTCCTAACGAAGATGAGAGTCTTAGCCCTCTGAGCTTCTCGATACTATTTGTGTTAACGGGAGGGACATCAACGGTTGCTCTTGTCGTGTACGTTGTCATGAGCATTAGAAAATTTAAAGAATCTAATCCCGGAGTCACAAATATCTTCGAATTGATATATGAATTTATGAAAGACAAATGGTATCAAAGGGGACACTCATCTAGAGTAGTTGCCGATGCACAAAGCCCCACAGGCCTACAGATGGGCCCGGTGAACACGAGTTGACGTGGATCTTGTAGCAAATACGTTTGGTTGTCTATTCTTAGCAAGAGAATTGTAAAAACTTCATGAATTTCTATGATGGCCATTTTTGTCATTTCATTTGATAGATAACAATACTAGGACTTGAGTATGTAACTCGTGGTGTAACAGATTAGAAAAAGGAAGTCTCAATAATATACAAAACAACCCACTCACTCCTGAAGTTTACAGTCTCGTGTGTTATTCATGAGTTTCTTGCCTACATCAGTTTTGTGAATTTTCTTGTTTTCTTTTTTTTGTATGAGAAATATAAGAAACCGGTTTGGTAGAATGTGTGGCAACAAAGTTACGATAAGGAGAGGGAAATGGCAAAGGGAATTGAGGTTGGTGAAAGTCACAAAGTTGAAGGCCAAATCCAAAATGATGTGTGTCACAATATCAATGAAGTGGGCCATTGGAAGAAAGATTGTCTGATAATAAATGAAGAGGGCCTAATGCAATTCTGGCTAAAACAATGTATACTCGGAAAGAGATTTAGTACTTGTGACTACCGAATGTAGTTTAATAAGATTCCATGGATTTTTAGATTCCTCGTATTCTTACTTTTTAACGCATGTGTCAAAACCAATAGTGATGTGCTACATATAATGATTGCATACATTATGATGGGAAACGGTAGGTCTTGAAAGATGGTCCATATCGGCGTGGTACAAATTTGTATGCATGAAGGGGCTATAAGGACTCTTAAAAAATTATTAGGTAAATTCCAACTTTTTTTTTTTGACATTCTTCATCCTTTTAGCATGCGCCTTAATATTAACAAAAATTATTGTCAATCATAAGGTCTTGGTCACCGTCATCAACTTCCTAATTTACCAAGTTTATATCATATACTTCATTCTTTATACTAAGTTAGATCAAAACACATGGAGCTTGATTGAACACATACTCTCCGAGAAAGTGTTGGAGGTTAATGCTAGGCTGTGAACTCCAATATGTTCCTACAAAGCTTCACACATCCTCACTGAAGCTCTACTTTTTGAGCATTTTAGGTGGTCTAAATTATAAACTTGATTTGTATAACATTCACACATCCTCACTGAAGCTCTACTTTTTGAGCATTTTAGGTGGTCTAAATTATAAACTTGATTTGTATAACATTCACACCTAAGCTTGACCTTTTACACCTAAGCTTTCAAAGTCGTGCGGAGATTTAAATAAATATAGAAATTACTTTAAATAGATATAAAACTTTATTCAAGAGTTTATTGGGATTTCATCACAATGATTCAACAAATCATAGTATTCATATTAAGGCTTTGAATTAAACGGCATACTAAAACATCACAATTTACCCATTTAAGTTCAAATCATGATATTTAAGACCTTAAACTCCCAAAATTGTTACCATGTAGCAATTATAGCATGTTCAACAGGTTAGCATCCTACATAGCATGTCATGTAGGATATTTTGAAGGTGAAGGTGGGTATATTGTATAATGGGTATATCTATTTAATAGGTTCAGTTGCAGTTTACCGACCTACTTAGAAGTCGGTTGCACATGATCACGCGTCTGTTGGAAATGAGAACTAAGCATTCCTTATAAGGGGTTTTGATACCTTCATTGTCGCAATATGTATTAAAGTCATGAGGGAAACATATCTCATAAGAACTTTGTAGTTAAGCGTGCCCAGATGAAAGCAATTCAGGGATGAGTGACCCCCTGGGAAGTTTTTATGTTGGGAACCCAAAACGGTTAATATTGTGATATGTGTCAGAAGGAGATGTTACACGTTGATATCAAAGCCTTGGTTTGAGAGATTCAGACACATCCTAAGGCGTGTCTGAATTGAAACTAACGATTTATAAACATCTTTTACAAGAAAATGAATTCCTAAAAAAGGTTTTATAAAGAAAAAAGGGTGTTATGCATTCAATCATCCGAAACTCAAGTAAGTAATTCTCAGAACCCATGCATGAATTTTGACACATGCCATTAACCAGTTCGTCAATGTCTCTTGTATCTCAGCGAATCCGATTGTCAAATATGTGTGTCACGCGTGACGCACATCACGATCGTACGAAAATTGTTTTTATTAAATGTGCATCACAAACGCATAAATATTGTTTTATTAAATTTGTATCTTCTTCATACAAACTCTATTTTTTGTCGTTTTTATACTTACGCGTAGCTATCATCAAGTACTACGACGTTCCTTTAGGTTGCATTGGAAAATTCTGACTTTATTTTTAGTTCATATTTTTATAATCCTAAATGATTTTGCAAAAATCATATCTTTCTCGTATGGATCCTCTTTTTGGCATTTTTTGTCTTATCGATTTAAAAATGAGGATTACTTTGATTCTCCTTTAAATAATTTTTGCTAAAACTCGACCTATTTTCCTTTTACTTTCTACGACACACATCCTTTGTGTGCAGTTGATTTTATGGTTTAGGAAAATCCATAAGTTCTCCACATGAAGTCAGATCTTTATGCAATCTATATTTTTGGGATCGTGTCGAAGTGTACTTTTGGAATATATTACTTTCTATACAAATTAATGCAACTTTTTGTGCACTTAATTATAAAGTCTTCGTACAATTTAACTAGTTTTTCTTACATGTTGGAGCTCGAAATCTTGCATTTTGCTAACTATTCCATTTTAAATCTTTTATACTTGTTGCAATTAACAATTGGTGTCAATATTTTCAATTTTCATATTCTCCCCCTGTTTAAAGAATTTTGTCCCAAAATTCTGATCGTAGTGCTTATCACTAGGAAATTGGCTAAGGGAGGGTGGTTCCTTAACCCGTTCTTGATTCTCTCGTACTGTTTTCTCTAGGTATGTTTGTAACAAATTATGCTTCATTGGTCGCATTCCTTTTTAGTGTTCGGTTTTATTACTTCTATTTCTAATTCTTCAACTTTATTAGAAAGTGGTATGAGTCTTTGATATTCCCTTGACTTATATCGGTCAATTCGAACTACCAAAGATTTCCTTTTTAGTTTATATTTTACAGCAATAGGAAAAATAAGCTTTATTTTTTATTTTGTATTCATTTGGTGCTATTTTTCTTGAGAGATTCCTATGATCTAATCTCTAAATGTAAGCATAGTTTTTCCTATTTTTCGGATTTTATTCATCGAAAAATTACTTGTAGTCATATTAAAGTACTACATGCATCGTATCACATGTATCGATACGAAACTACATTATATTGAGAGATCAACAGAGATGTAAATCATTAGTGTTAATGAATGTAAGGTCAGTTTATACTTATGTTTCAGTATTGACGATGACATCCCAATGTTTCAATATAAAATATGTTTCATCATAAATGTTTTTTTATAATATATTTATCATGTTTTCTGGGAAAAAATTCTACAATATTATTCTTTAAAATGGATACTTTGATTTTTAAATACGCCTAAATAAAATTTTTAAATGACCGTGAACTTGAGGATGTCACAATTGACACTACCTTCCTCAACAACTATAGTAACTACCACATCCTCCTTACCTAAAAGAACTACCACATCCTCAACATATACATCTATCCGAACACCTACCTCAGAATCTACCACATCACCAACACAACCAACCATGAAAGGATATGTTGTGGAAAATATAGAGAGTGAAAACATTCCCTTTGAAGATTGTAGACTAGAAGGACATTTAACTGTTCATGTTTGAAAAAAAAACATAAGTTACCAATCATATCTTACAGCTTTTTTCTATGTATAACATTTTGGTGTACACGTACATATTAATTCACAATTAAAACGGTCTCATGATTACATGCAGGCTCATGCCACCAGGACCTTGTGCACACATTATTAGTCGGTCCTTTTTACAATGAGTAGATTCAGAGGGCTACACTTGGAGAAAAGTAAGCAAAGAAATGCATGATGTAATACTCCAAATTAGGTATTACCTTGAAGCCCTTGAAGAGTTTTAAATATAGCATAATAAGTCCCTTAAGTACGCTGGGCGTACTTATGGGTACACTTAGCGTACTTTGCAAGGAGGATCGCGAATGGGTAACACGTACGTTGGGCGTACTAGGAGTACGATTGGCATACGTGACGGACGTCTAAAACCATAATTTCTGGACTTGAGGCCTATTTAAACGTTCTTAAGCCTTTTGGACCTAACCCTAGACAGCCTCCATAGCCTTATTTCGCCCTTTTACTCCAGAGAGAGTTTGTGAGATCATTTTTAAGCTTAGAGATTGTATTTGTGGCCATTTTAGTGTTCATTCAAGAAGGAGAAGTTGCCAAGAAAGCTTGGAGTGACATCGGGCTTCAAGAATCTGCATCTAGATCACCTTGAGGAGCTTCTGGAGGTATAAAGCTTTGATCTTTCCATCTTATTCATTAGATCTAGCTAGGGTTTTCTAGTTTTGTCCCTTTTGTTGGTTTCGAACCTCCTCTTATTAGTTGAGCAACCCCAAAGGCTGGAAAGGTTAGATCTGAGGTGCTTTGGTCAATTCATAACATAAAAATGAAGTCTTGATGGGTGTTTTGACCTCATGAATTGATTAAGAACCTTGAAAAGGTCTTAATGAGGTTGCTGGGAACATATGAGACAAGCAAAGGCATAAAGTTTCCAACTTTATGCCCTAGGCCGTCCTAATAAGCTTAGATTTTACCATTGAACGTGAGAAAATCGAGTATTAAGCACTTAATGGAGAAAGTGTGTAATTTGTTAGTACGTTGGGCGTAACCTAGCATACGTAGTACGTAAGGCCCATAGACTCAGTACGCTGCGCGTACTAGGGTGGTACGCTAAGCGTACGCACAATAGATAGACTTGGATTTGTTTTGGGCCAGTTTATCTGTTTTGGACCATGGATGTTATAATTAGGCTTTATTGGGCCATGATGTCCATTAATGACTTGGGATATGGACTTTGGGCCCATTAGCTGAGGAAGACCTTTTAAGGCTTTGTGAAAGGACTTGGGGATTTGGGTTCTTCACTTAGATGGTGTTTGACCCTAAAATTGAGTAATATTATTATTGTTCAACACGAGTGTCAACGGATTGTTAGGAGATCAACCTTCGGATTCTAAAGATAGAGGCGAGTCTTCTCACCATACCAATGGGTATAAGGTACCAAGGTTGGCCCGTTTTATGTTATGTGGTACACTAGAGTTTGTAGAGATATGTGGTATGGTAGTTAGCTTTGTGCTAAATGGTATGCTATTGATTGTATGTTATTGCATGGAAGACCCTGGGGAAGCTTGTGGTAGTTGGATATAAGACCATGTGGGGTAGCCCATGGCATTCCCAGGTAATGAACATGTGGGGTAGCTCATGGCACGATGGTGTAAGACCCTGGGGAGAGCCCACAACATCCTTACAGGTTTATGTATGTGCATGTAGTATGTTAGATACATTTGTGATATTATATGCTAGGTTGATTATGTATGTTATTGCATGAAAGACCCCGGGGGGGGGGGGGGGAGCCCATGACAGTTGGACCATGTACGGTAGCGCATGGCATTCCCAGGTAAACACCATGTGGGGTAGCCCATGGCAAGAAGGTGTAAGACCTTAGGGGAGCCAACAACATCCTTACAGGTTTATGTATGCATGGCTTATGTGGTATGTGTAGCTTTATAGTTAATATGATTTGTGTTATGTGGATTGTGTGCGGAGTTTGCTCTGGGGAATTCATTAAGCATTAGCTTACAGGTTGTTGATTTGGTTCAGATACATTGGATCCCAAGGGCAAGGGAAAGGCGTGATGGCGCGACATGCACTCTCACACAAGCATTTTATGGACACTCTGATATTTTAAATAGAAGTTGTAATTGATATGAGTTTGAAAACAGTTATATATGGGATTTTGTAATTTATGGAAATGTGTTTGGTTAATCAAAAAATGAAAATTTTCCTTTGAAAAATCGGGTCGTTACACGCGAATTATATTGGGAGGAGTTCCAGATAGTTAACTATATGTGATAAATTGTTGTTTGGTAAATATTTACATTTAAACTTATGTTTATATTGTTAATATGTAGAAAAATGTTGTTGGGGGTGAAACAATAGACTCGCTGGTGAGCCAAGCTTGGGCAAGTAAAGTGCCACAAAGTTATGGCCAATATCTCTACAACATGCGGAGCCCACAAGGAAACCTACATGCCTTTAAACTAGCTCATATTTCACAAGAAGTCTAGAACTCATGGCAAGAAAAATGGAATACGGATGAATACAAGATGAAATCCGAGCATAACAAGAAAATTAGGCGTAACGGTGTGGCTGATGGAATAGCACAACCTACCCATAATGATGGATCCACAAATCATTTGAAGATAGCTTATGATTTGGTAATTTTTTTTAATGGTACATCAATGTTTATGTTTATGTGTATGTTTTACATTTTATGGTTTTTATGCAGAAGAGGAAATTAGGAGGTGATCCACCCCATAGTGAATTGTTCCTGTATACACACACGAATAATCACGATTGAGTCACATTTACAAATGAAAAAGATAGAAAAATTCATGTAATATTCATTTCAGTGCCATTAAACTTTTATATTGTAGCTAGTCCTTAATGTCATTCATAACTTTGATATCTTTTAATTTAAATTATTATTATTTTGTAAGCAGCCTATACAGAAAAACAGGAAGAGCTGGAAGCTGAAGGTGCTGAATTTAAGTATGACAAAATATTTTATGATGTTGTTGGTGGGCATGACAAAAAAAAAAAGACTTTATGGATTAGACTCTTTTGCAAAGGCGGTTCCCAAGATTGATGGTAAAACCAATGTATCTTACATTCCGAAAAAAATATGATGAAATGGAAGAATTGAGGGAGCTTATTGCTAAACAAAAAGAGCAAAACGTAGAGCTTAAAGGAATAATGAAGGCCCAAAAATACCAATACAACGTAAGAGTTGAGCAACTTGATAAACAACTTAAATCGGCAATGGATCTTATTGATGTTATTAGAGAACAACAAAACCAGTAGGGTTTTTCAAGTAAGAAATAATTATTGTATTATTTTTTGATATATGTTATTTGATTTTTTTCACTACTAGAAAAATAGTCTTTTACGACGAGTAATTTATGATACGCGTCGATTTACGATACGCAAAAGTAGATGACCTAAAGATAATGTCAGCTCTCTATAAAATTTAAAGATCTAGGACGCGTATTTTTGCGTGCCCTTAAATTAGTGTCTAAACAAAAATAAAAAATAAAAACACGGAGGGCGCCTATAATAAAAAGTGTGTCGTATGAAGATGTCGCTTTATAAATTTTAATGGGAACGCGCGTTCCATCTTTTAATAGCTCTGTGTGTGTGTGGGTGGGGGGGGGGGTTAATAGCTCTGTGTGTGTGTGTGGGTGGGGGGGGGGGGTGGGGGGGGGGGAATGAAATCCTAAAAAAGTTAAAATCCCCCGCCTTCCTTTTTCTTCCTTTCCCTCTTGCCCTAATTATCGACGCCCCTTCCTTCCCCTTCCGACATAGCCGCCTACTTCTTCCTTCGCACTTCGACCAACATTACTTGCCATTCCCGGTCGTCGTTGTCGATCAACGCAAGCACGCCACCAGCCGACAACCTTCACTCTCTCCTTCCCCTTTCCTCTGTAAACCCTAATCTGCCTACACTACTACTGAATCTACCTCAACTCACCTCTGGCCTCGGCTCATCTCTTTCCGCCGACGACCTCGGGTTCACCTCACCTCACCAGAGACTACAACGATTGCTCAAGTTTACAAGCCCTAGGTTAGATTAATATTGAAGTTAAGTATGATTCTAATGAGATTATCGGTTTCCCTAGTCGCGTTTTCATGAAGAAATTTCCCACATGCACACCAGATCTTCGAATTGTTGCAGAAGGGGATGACGTACGTGTGATTTATGCTAAAAAAAACTCAACTTTTGTAGGTGTCTCAACCTCCCTGTGTTTGAAATAGATGGTGAAACATGCTTGGGTGTTGTTGAGGTGGTGACGACTTCCCAGAAAGTCAACCTCCGGGATGAACTCGAAAACATCTGTAAAGCTCTACAGGTCTCTTTCTATCTTCTTTTCTGTTAAGGTTTCTGCATTTCTGGCTCGATCGTGTTAGCTTCAGTTCATTTACATCATGTTTTTAACTTTCTATGGCTCAGAACATCCTGTAGTTCACCATCGTGGTGAAAATTCTATTTTTTTTTATTTTTTTATTTTTTCATTTGTTAAATGAGTTGATTTCTTGGTTCAATATTTTCTTAATCGACTTTTGGTTGTAGGTTGTTGATCTAAGGAGTTCGGAGTTCTTGGTCCATCCAAAGCAAAAGGTAGGAATGCTGTAAGAAACTCAACAATGAAAGTACACTGAATTCAACCCTTTTTTAATATCTTGTGTATGTTTCTGTTTATCAGGATTTTAGTGAACCATATGATGTTGTACATTACGCTACTTGGCAATTTTAAGGGCATTTAAGGTATTATACTACTTATGTATTCACAGTATGGGTTGAAACCTGTAACTTTACTTGAAAGAATTTTCTTACAAACACACAAAAGAGCTTTGTTGCATGCATACACCTCTCATTTAAAGTTGAAACAAATCTATCTACCCCCCTCTCTCTCTTATCCACACACAAATGGTTTAATAGGTACCAGAGTGTGGAGTTCTAATGCAGTGTGTGGAAGAACTAGCAACAATGAAGGTCAGTTTTATAACACATGAAAATAAAGGTTAGTTTTATAACATATTTTCTTTATTTCAGCTTTTATGATTGATTTCATTTCATTATCTTTTAATCATTTGTTATTAATTTTCAGATATCTAATACACCTGAATTTGTAACATATTGTTGTTATATATGTGGTCAAAGATGTGGTCAAATCAAAGATGTAATGGAGGTTAGGATTATAAATATAATAACCTTTGGCTAATGCTATGGTTTCTGCAATAATCTACTTTCATGTGTTTGAATATAGGGGTTCACTTACCCAGTGAGGGCACATTTCTTAGAAGATTATGGTCAAGAAAAGCTATGGAAAACACCTCATTTCGTTCAGGAAGTATTCCATGAAGAAGAAGAACCTGAAATCGATGACACGAATACTCCAACTGTTACTGGGGTAAAAGTGGAAATTCCTGCGAGTTCTGTTGTGCCCATTAACATTAAGGAGGAGGTTGTTAAGACTGAGAAAAAGGTGGAGGTGGTCCAGGAAAGTACATCACTTCTTGCAGAACCTTTTACTGGAACCAAGTCCGGGAAGCAAAAAATAAAGGGTGTTTACACCAGAGCAGGTTCGTTAGCATATAACAGGTCTCAGGCATTGGGTTGGCCAGGTCAGAATCTGCATTTTACTTTATGGAGATGTGTTTGTTTTGTGTTTGTTTTTGAATCTTTCATTTTATACAGAGCAAAGCCAAAGTAGAAAAGAATCAAGCTCTGGAACACTCGATGATTGTGTTTATTTGGTTTTTTTTTTTATATTTTCTTTGTTAGGCATTGCTAGTACATCAACTAGAAGATCAATGCTAAAATATTGTCCCTTAACTATGAGGACGTAAAGGCATTGCTTTAACTCAGTTTATGATAGTGAATATGCAAGATCTGTTTGTTTATGTGAGTATGGCACTGCACCTAATATTAAGGTCTATGGTGATCCTGATTTCACATTCCTATAAGTTGTATAGCGACTGCCCACAGGTAATGTTTTCACAGATTGAATTTACACAAAGGATTTAATTGTTTTAGGTGTTGAGCTTGCCTAAGTTGCCATAATTGACAACTGCCCACAGGTAATACTTCTAATTTAATCTTTTTTTTTCCATTCTATTCCATGATGGAATGGAATTGTAAACTTTACTTTCATCTATAACACCGATTCCATTATTTGGTGGATTCAGGTTTTCCAGATGCAAGTGAATAATGAGATTCTAATAAAGAGTTGGTTTAATAATCCATCACATTGTGCATTAATTACACTTCTGCCCTTCCTAGTGACACTAGTAGATGCCATTCCTATAGGTATTTTTCATCATTAATCATTATTAAGTAAATTAAAGATTTTTGTCCCGAAATCACTGTTTCTTAACCTAACCCTCTCATCCTTGTAAAATGACCATTTTACCCACCCCTTCAAACCCTAAACTTTGTGAAAGAGGAGATTGTTTGAAGTACTTGTGGTAGACTCACAAATAGGTAGGCTTTTGTTGACTTTTCATGAATGTTGACTTCTTATATTTATCAAAGACCCTAACCCTATAGATTAATTTCTAGCACTATTGTTGACTTATAGATTTAAATCCCCTAAACTTACTTCTAACAGGTAGAGTCGTGTTAACTTCTTATAATTTTAATAACTACATTTGTGTTGACTTGTTTTATGTTAAAATTTTAGACGGTAGATTTGTGCTGACTTTTTTTTATTTAGATTTTGAAGTTTCTAACTCCCCTCACCCTCTGTATTATATATTGATCATGTGATAATACATAAAGGCCCTGCATATTGGCTTAGCTTGTAATAATATTATTAGATATTCTATCATTCATTGTATGGAGCTGATAAAAATTATTTTACAACATTTAAAGTGTTTTTATATGGTTCAACTCAAGTGTATATATTGCGGAAAAATGTTGAAGGGCGGTGGAATTCACAGGATTAAAGAACACCTCGCAGGCCAAAAAGGTAACACATCCAGTTGTTTAAGAGTACAGCTTGATGTTCGTCTGTTGATTCAAGAGAGCTTAAATGGTGTCGTAGTGAAGAAGAGAAAGAAACAGAAATTGGCTGAAGAAATCACTAATTTCAATTCTGGGGAGACTGATTCTTTTGGTAATCAAGCTACTTTGAACGCTGAAGCTGTAATGCTTCCTGTTGCAGAAGCTATTGAGCCCAATCCTAGTTTATTAGTAACTCAAGAAGAAGAAGGTACTGTAAGTAGTAAGAGAGGTGGAGGTAGAAGAAAAAAAGGATGTAGAGTGAGAAAAGGTTTGAATGCTATTGCTCTTATTGATACCGTGTATGATGATTCAAAAAGGTTAACCATCAAGTTAGTTTAGCAATTGGGAGGTTTTTATTTGACGTTGGTGTACCTTTAGATGCTGTGAACTCCATATATTTCCAGCCCATGATTTATGCAATTGCTTCACAAGGGTCAGGATTTGTGGGGCCTTCATATCATGATCTTCGTAGCTGGATTTTAAAGAATACAGTTCAAGAAGTTAGAACAGAAGTTGATCAATGCATGGGGACTTGGGGCAAGAGTGGTTGTTCTGTTTTAGTCGATGAATTGACTTCAAAAAATGGTAAAATGTTTATGAATTTCTCAGTTTATTGTCCTGAAGGGCTAATGTTTTTGGGGTCTGTTGATGTGATCAACATTATAGGCTCCATAGACGCTTTATATGGTTTATTTAAAGAAATCATTGAAGAAGTTGGAGTAAGAAATGTTCTCCAGATTGTTACTAACAATGAAGAACGTTATATTGAAGTAGGGAAACGAATCACCAAAAATTGATAATTGAGTCGTGTTGGCTTTTTGCAGTCAACGGTTGAGTTAGGGCTTGATTTCGTCTTCCCTGAAAGTCTAGCAGAAGCTGTATGATTAGGTGCAGAGATTCGTGAACTTGCTAATTACCATGATGCAAAGCTTCAAATTTTAGAGGGCAAACATCTTTTTTCCCATTATACCCTTGTGATTTCACTATTTACCTTTTTTTAATTGTAATTTTGAATGATTATAGGTTGGAAAGATTTCACTTTATGCAGCAAGTTCATCAATTAAGGAAGTTCAAAAACTGGTGTTGGATCCAAAGTAAGACACTCATATGAGAATCTCTTTTATTTATTTATTTATTTATTTTAATTAATGTTTCTACTTTTTTATCTTTCTTTTTTCTTTTTCATTCTTTACAGCAGAATTCCATATTATCTAATAATCAGAAAATCAGGGCTTTATTAGTTTTACAGTTTACTTTAGTATTTGCATTCTTATATATTATACCCCTCACATTTTCCCAAATTACCCCTTCCTCTACAATGTTTTTTTTTGTTTGTGTATTTTGTGCATCAGGTAAAGTTGATGGAAGAAAGGAATATGAAGCCACCTCATTTAAATCTTGCAGCATTATCAGCAAGATGCAGTAAAGACTTGGAGTTGAATTTGGCTAAGTCATTATTGAGTGAGATGGGCCAATGTACAACTGATTATCCATATAACCAGTTGTTTGGAGCATTAGTCTTAAAGAATTATGAAAGGCAAGATGCAACTTTACTTAGTTGGAATTTGATGTACATAGTCTTTACAATGGATTCTATTTTTTGTAAGAAATAGAATTGTATGACATTAAATTTATGCAATGGATTCTATTTTTTGTATATGATATTTTATTTTCTATTATGAAACATTAAATACAAATTTAATTTGAAAATAAGTAAATCTATAAATAATATTTTTTTTAAACGTTTACAATTATGATACGCAAAAATGTGTGTCATCTTCATTTATGACATGGCCTTTCTTGACAGGGGTTTTCTTGATACGCATTGCATGTCATTAACACGCGCGTCGTAAGGTTACGACACGCGAATGCGTGTCGTCTTCCTTTATGACAAGGCCTTCCTTGATACGCATTGCGCGTCGTAATTGCGCGTCGTAAATGCGCGTCGTCTCTCTTTATGACAGAGCCTTCCTTGACACGCATTTGCGCGTCATCTGAGCCTTTTACGACGCGCAATGAGCATCGTAAAAGGCTGTTTTTCTAGTAGTGTTTGTTATTTTTGTGTTTCATATATTACTACAAAATAATTTAGATTTAATTTATAAATTGATTATACATCCATCCCTATGGAATCTGCTATATAATATACACCACGGAAATTGCTAGGGATTTATGACCATGAAATTTGCTAGGGATTCACCACCACATAATTTGATAGGGAATCGCCACCACAGAATTTGTTATGGATTCACCACTACGGAATTTGCTAGGGAATCACCACCACAAAATTTTCTAGGGATTCACCACCAAGGAATTTGCTAGGGTTTTACTACAACGGAATTTGTGATGGAATACACAGTAGAATACCATTTACAACGGATTTCATTCAGTTGTCACATTTGCGACACAATGGCTCTTTCCCTAGAAAACCCTCGCTACGGGTTTTTGGGGACAGAAATCGGTAGTCGCAAATTATGTCGCTATTCATCTTCTACACTGGAATTTCAAATTTTTAGAATGGTTTCCTTCCCTAGCAAACTTGCGTTTTTCTTATAGTGATATGAGTAAAAGTATTATATGGCTTTTTAATTTTCCCATAAACTGACATGTGGATATTATTATTTAAAAAATATCATAAAATGACAAGTGTCAATACTCATGAGAGATTGACATTTGGCAAAATTGATCTGCATTTATTATAGTAGATGTGTAGATGTAGTAAGTATTCAAATAAAAGTAGAATTTTTTTTCTAGAGTTTTTAATTGTCTTCATACATCTAGTTTTGTTCTTTGTGCACCTAATTCTTTAGAATTTTCAAGGAAGGGATTCTGAAGGAAAATAGTGCTCTTGAGTTTTCAATGGAAGGAAAGGGTAGCATTTACTCTCTTACTTAATTTACATGAGTTGGGAGGGAAAGTTGAAAGTTTTAAAATTCTCCCTTGGATTTCTTCTTCAACTTCATATTCCTTCTTATAAAGGCTCTTCAAACCCAAAATTGAAAATCCGATTAATCTTTAGATATTGGTATCTTCAAACCTAATCGTAACCCTAAAAGATATAGTGGGGATGGGTTGTGATAAAGATTTCACGATGAAATGGTATTAGTGATGTTTGTGGTGGAGGACAGGGAGGTGCGAGTTAGTGAGCAACGCTCTAACATTGTAAAACTGATATCATTTGACCATGAACACATCCGCCCCTTCCCCTCCAACTCAAGAACACATCTGACTAAATTTTTTCTCCTTCCGTTTCTTTTCATCCCTTTCCTTAGATTTTAAAAATCAAGAATAACGTCTTGATGTTTTAGAAGATGCTTTGAATTCTCTTGACTAAATATCTATTGTGTGCGAGGAACTAAGTGATGATGTATCTAATATAAAAAGAAAGCATCAAGGTATAAAAAAACTACCTATATGGTTTTTAGGTGTCATATTCTTAGCTTAGTTTTGTGTGATGCGACAAATTCTTATCATAAAGAAAAATTTTATTTTGGTACATTTCAAATAATACATAGTGTTAATACTACTTACACAAAAATATGAGAAGATTTACTTGAATATATAGATTAATTAACACTTAAATATTTGTACATTACTCGTTAGGAACATCATATTGTGGTAAAAAAAATTACAGGGATTGGTTAGTTATTTTGAGAAATATAGGGAAATTGTGTTTCGCTCTATTATTAATTAAGCTAAAGAAATTGTAGATAATATTGGAAATAAACCTAAATTTTCTATAAGTATATTTGTTGTAGGAATAGACACTTATTCATTTATAAAATAGATTTGACCATTTGAACTATTAATGAATCTATTTTTGTTTGATGGCTCAAAGTTAGTTTCTTTAGCTTACTCTTAATTAAAAAAAAAAACATGTTTAAATCTTAAATCATTTTGAAAAATGAAGATGAATATTTATAGTGATGGAATATATTTATTTATGCAATGAAAATTTTGTAGGAAATGTTCCCACATAAAGCATGTGAATGAAAAGTCTTTGGACATATATATAAATATAGAGTTTGAAAAGGATATATATATATATATATATATATATATATATATATATATATATATGTGTGTGTGTGTGTGTGTGTGTGTGTGTGAGACAACCCGTTAGTTTCAAATCTGTAAAAGTCAACAAAAATCAACCAATATCAACAAAAGTCAAACATGTCAAATAAAAGTCAAAATTAGTTGTTCTGTTAAATTATTAAAGTTAAATTAATAATATTGATATGTATAAACCTTTTATTAAAAGTGTTGTAAAAATTAGATGTAAAAACACTCAAACCGAAATCTCGCATCTAGACCCCCCCGAAAATCCACGGACTAGCCACTTGCCTCGCACTGAGAACCGTTTTCTGCCAAGAACCTTCGGCCCGAAAACGAGCCTTCTGACCACAAACTCCCACCTGACATCAAATGTCTTCGGACAAAAACCCTATTTTCGGCTGCAAATGTCTTCGAACCGCAAACAGCCTCGGTCCATTCACATCTTCTCGGATTGTGTTCTCGGCCGAATACCCACCTTCTATCCTTTGGCTCGCATTTTTAGAAAATAAGTTACATGTTTCAAAGCACACGTCACGTCATATATTCATGCATAGGATATAGATCCGGTAAGAAATTTTTTTTTTGTAGGAAGGTAAGAAGTTTTTTTTTCTACATGTTTTTTTAATGAACAAAATAAA